TAGGATAGCAACGTTGGCGGGAGCGTGTGTAGCAGGTCCATCCTTTAGCGAGGGTTGGTGGGGAATGGCCACGAGAAAGCATGCGACGAGTGAGTGTTGTCACTGCAGTTCGGAAGTCCTGCCAATGTATCTGCGCACTGGGCACGGAATTAATAAAAGACGTTCTGTAACTTCCGTTCTAAAGAAAGACAACGGCAGAAGGTAGAAATTCCGCAGAATATATATATATATCGTCAAATAGAACTTCCCGGTAAACCGTAGGCATATATATATATATATAGTTTCCCCCTTTCTTTCTTTCTTTTTTTAATAACAAAAACACAGCCCCTTCTATTCTGGGGGGCATCAGTCCAGTTGCTTATCACCTGCAACGTCTGCAAGCATGTGTTTTTACAAGCAACGAAGAAGAAGAGACACAAAAGAGAGTCAGCCTAACCCTTGTAGTTTGAGCCGCCTGCGCAAGGGGAGGCTGCCTCGTAGCGGCCCTCCCCCAACCCTTAAGCCCTTCTTTGGGGATTGTCTTGCAAGTCGGGAGGCTTACTAGCAGCACCCAGGTACGCTGCAGGATAATCCCCGGAAGGCCAGGGTGCAGGCAGAGGCGCTTCCTCACAGTCCGTCAGGCCGCATAATCCTCCATCAACATCCTGCCATGATTTCCCAGTTTGTTTGTTTCCTCACTCTTTACACCCTTCGTTCCTCTATTCGCCCACCTACTACCCCATCTGGTCGTTCTGCCCTTTCAACCTCCCAAATTTCCCGAGTCTTAATCTGTCCCCTTGAAGACTGCCTGTATATACTATCTGTAGCCTCCCTTCTGTGTTCCCAAAGGTGTGACTCTAATCTGTCCCCTTGAAGACTGCCTGTATATACTATCTGTAGCCTCTCCTTCTGTGTTCCCAAAGGTCCGACTCTATCCCCATGGATATGTCTAAGGCCCTTCGGCCTACTTGATCCAGTTCCCCTTGATTCTGTCCTGTAATGAAGGTGTTACTAGCCCCAGCGCTTTCCATACGCCTTCTCTCACCTCTTCCCAATCCTTCAGCAATTTTGTTTTCTATTATTGAATGCAAGAAAATGGCAAACAACCCCCCGTTAAAGGGCCCCCCTATTCCTCCCTCCTATTTACCTGCTTCCGCCCATTTGTCTTCCCTATTGGTAGTACATCTATTCACCTCAAGCTATCAATCCCACTCATAGTACAAATCAGTTGAGGTCTCTGGTCTAATTCTTTATTTTTTTAACCGGTTCTTATGGCCCTGGCTCTGTTTCCGTTCTGGGGAGCATCAGTCCGGTTCCTATTCCACCGGCAAGTCAGATTAAAATGATACATCGAGGAACACTCTCACGCTTCCTTCCGTCTGGCTGAAGGAACCCTGATCGGCATTGATTACTCCCACAACATGGAGGATTAACTGTCAGCTTGCCCTGCTTACAGCTTTCCTCTCAGGACTACTATAAGATCCTGTCAGATAAACCATGCTTCAACAAGCTATGGCCACCCTGCTTCTCTACCACTACCCTAGCTATGGCTGACGTCCATCCTCCCTTCTTCTTTGAGCGTTGTCTTGCCCAAGTCGCTTGGTCACACAAGCAGAAGCAGCGCTTCCGCAACTCCACGAATGAACAACTATGTCCGCTGCTGCACTGTAGCAGCTAAATATAGGAATCAGACTTGGCTTGGCCTGCCTCAGACCGGTACCGGTCAGCCGCGGCCTGTCTGTTGCAATCATTTTGTCGATCCGGAAGCTTCCCGGACTTTCCTGGGACTTGCTGCAAAAATGGACTTGCCGGACCCTTCTGTGGGGTACCCGACTGGCTATACAACAACTCAGCCTTCTAGACTTTTTCTGTTGGGTACCGGACAGGCTCTACCACGACTTGACCTTTCCGGATGTTTCCTTATTAGACCTCGACGCTTCAACTGGCGTATCGGACCTACCCCACTTGACACGGGGACATGGGACTTCGGAACCTTCAGGACTTTGGGAGTTGGTGTCGGCTTTCAGGGGTCTGCAGCGTGAAATTCTTTCATTATTTTTACTAGATGACCTGTTGCGGCTTCGCTTGCAAGAACATTTATGACGGGTGATGCATTTATGGTGGACGAAACTAACTGATGCCCTCTCTCTCTCTCTCTCTCTCTCTCTCTCTCTCTCTCTCTCTCTCTCTCTCTCTCTCTCTCTCTCTC